TTTTTTTTTTTTTAAGGATCATGGCAGCACGTTTGATCCTAAACCTACCCAGGGGCATGCACGACTGGCAGCCTGTGCTGGTTCTCTTCCTACGTAGGAGCTTTTGTGCTTCTCTTCTTGTCCTAACGAGTGACTGTTGTGAGCCTGAGGAAGACTGGCATTAACCATTATATCTTGAAATTAAATTGATGCGAGGGGCAGTTTCTTTGATGTTTATCAGCACAGGATAGTGGTGTCCTGTTTTCCCTCACACAAGGACGGTTTGATTCTTTTTGACGTTCTTTGCGGGAGGTGGGAATTGCACGTCTGCTGCAGCACCCCCAGTCTGCCTTCCCTTTGAACCTTGTTCTCAATGTCTTACGTGGGAGGGAAGCCCCATGAGGCTTTGACCTCCGGTCTTAATGAGTTGTGGCTGGAGTCTCTCCGTTGCTTATTAAAGCCTAACTGCATCTCTAAAAGGATAGGCTGGTTCCTTTCAAAGAAGCCAAAGGGAGGTAGGCATTCCACAGCATTTCAGTGGGATGTGGGAGCTAAACGCCTTCGATGCCCTTTGGAAAGGTTGCACGGAACAATCTCGCGCAGGGCTGTTCAGATGAAGAAACTTGTGTAAGATCGTGTTTTTGGGCAACCATCCTGGTATTGGGGGTGCCAGCAGTTTTCTGCTGGGGCTAAGCACTCCCTGGCACAGAAATCTGTTGGATCCAAACCCTAAGTTCAGATGTGGCCCTCTTGTCTGGGCTATTTATCAGATCATTGCAATGAGCACCTAAAGACAGGCTTTGCAGTGCATCCAAGCCTGGATTCTAAGAAGGGGAGTAAACACTGTCTTGGTATACATTTAAAAATCAAATGGGACTCACTAGAATTGGCTAAAACTATGCAGAGCCTCAGTCAGTTGATGGAAAAGAAGGGTGAAGAGAGTTGGGGGAAGGTGTTTAAAGGATTGTATCTTAACTCTACTTCTGAAAATCCATCCCTGATCCATAGCATTTATGCTGTGAGAACTTTGTGAAGGGCAGAGCTGCTGTAGCGTGGAGCTCATACTTGTGCAGGATCGTGGCCTGTCCTACAGCTGGTTTCCCTTCCCAAAGGCAGGGAGGTGTCCACAGAATTTGGCCCCTGCCAGCTGCAGAGCAGAGCAGAGCTTGGCTTGTGAGAAGCATTACTGTGCT